CTGGACTGTAATAATGAGGCACAGCGTTGTAACGGGAACCTGTTGCATCTGCTCCTGTATGGTACCGTTCATGCACCATTATTGTGTCATAGGTTCAGGAGGAATCTGTGCTTCAGTGAAGGAACCTTCCTCTGGACAAAACACACAGGCCACCCAACCAGCTACAGCTGCTCCAGGTAGTAGTAAACGTAAACACTTACTGACATGTGTTTTTGGCGGTGGCGTAAAGTTTTTGCAGCTCTGTTTCCAGTCCCCTTTCACATTTTTTTTAACAGTCCTTACATTAATTAGGTTCAACTCCATAACTACTGCCTCACAGGTTAATAACATTAGTCTTGAGACTGACACTGAAAACAAAAACTTACTGAGAAACTTTAAGATTCTGTGAACGTTGTTGTTTTATTCCCTCAGCCCCTGCAGCTCCCAAAGACGTGCTGGAAGCTCTCGAGCAGAGGCGAGCTAAGTATGTAGAGGCGTCCACTCAGGCTAAAGCCAGCGGAGATGAGCGCAAGGCTCGAATGCACGACCGAATTGCCAAGGTACACTGTGAAAAGTCTGTGACCTTTAGAGAGCTTAAATAAAATGTTGCTGTTGGGCTTTCAGGTCTCTCTGTGTTTCTCTCTCAAGCCGAGCAGACACTGCATGGATTTGGCCCGATTTGTCGGGGCTGCGGCTGACAGTTGTTTTCATCATTGAATAATTGTTTATGAAAGTGTAAATACTGTGGAAAAACTGGCATACGTACTAATATTTGACCTCTCCCCTCCTGCAGCAATACCAGAGTGCCATCCGAGCTCACAAAGCAGGAAAAGCAGTCGACTTTGATGAGCTGCCGGTTCCCCCCGGTGAGAATCTTTGGAGTTGATTAGTGTAATTTCCAAGTTGCATTTGGCTCTGTAAAATTGGATTTACATTGTGTTTGCGCTTCTGTCACCCTGAGGAGTTACTTTATTATGATTATTTTCCAGGCTTTCCTCCACTCCCGGGCCAGCAGGCTGCAGGAGCTGAGCAGGGAATTATCGCTGCTCTGGAGGCAGCCAATAAGCTCGCCACTACTGATGCTGCCGACGTACCCGATGAAGAAGATGAGGAGAAAGAAACTGAGGTGGTCTACCAGTATTGTTATATTGTTTTTGTGAGGTTTTAGTGGACAGCTTGTTGATCCGGTTCATGTTCCTGTTGCAGTCCAAGTCTGCTGTTCCAGAAGAGCCAAAGAAGCCAACACTAGTTGTCCACCCCATAGGTCAAGGACGGAAAAGGACTCCTTCAGCCTCACCTGACAGAACAGCCACCAGAGGAGGCCTTTCACCTACAGGTCCGTTAAAAAAAAAAAAAAGAACTGGTTCAATGTTTTCTAGTTCCAACTTCTCAGATGTCAGGGGTTGTTGCTCTTCTTTATCTTTTGTGATGGTAAATTAAAAATCTTCCATCACTAAACACTACAAAGAACACACAACAGTACTAACTGCACCACTGTTTTTCAATCAATCGGTCAATTTGCAGAAAATAAATGAGCAACTATTTTGATAGTTATCTATTTTAGTTTTTTTTCCAAGGAAAAATGCCAAATATTCTCTTGTTCCAGCTTTTTCAGAACTGACCATTTGCTGAATTTTTGTCCTGTCAAATCTTGGACATGAACCTAATGCCACGGCTCAATACTTCATCAAAACCTTTACAACTTTTTTTAAGTTTGTGTTTGTTGTCGTCCTCCAGCGGCCCAGCAGCTGGAGTTCCTGGAGGGTCGGAAGAAGCAGTACATGAAGGCGGCTCTCCAGGCGAAGCAGAAGAACGACATGGAGCAGGCAAAGGTTTTCCTCCGCAGCGCCAAAGGCCTCGACCCCATGATCGAAGCAGCACGCAGCGGAAAACCTGTGGACATCAGCACGGTGAGCAGAGAGTAGATTTGACTGTGCTACTGACAGTTTATAGCCTGGTTGTCAACTGAACCATTATCGTTCATATCTATCAGTGGACACTGGCTTGGATCACAGAGTGTGACTTTCATCGCATGTTGAAAAAGTTTTCAAAAAATGCATCAGAATATATAATTTAATAGCCGTATTGTTAAAAATACAGGGAATTTGACTCCAGAGCAAACGCTGTATCACTTATCTGGGATGCTTTGGTGAGATTAGAACGATAAGAAACCATGGTGGAGCTGAGGGTTTTGGTAGTGCTCCAGTTCTTAAAAATACAAATACATGCAAACATATTCAGCATTTTGTGGGTGATGAGAAATCATGGCCTCCCAGTGTAGCCCGCTCTGTTCCTGCTGTAGGTTCCGTCTCCCCCTGGTGATGAAGACGAGGACTTCATCCTGGTTCATCACAGCGACGTTCAGCTCTCTGAGAAAGCAGAGCAGGTTTACACACAACTGGCCAACATCCTCAAAGAGCAGTATGAGGTAAAACTGCAGGATTACTGCTGAAGGAACTTCAGTATATTAAACTTATCACAGAATCCCAAGGTCCTTGATTTGAGAAATCCATGACATGATTAAACACTTTAAAATGTTGATGACACAGTGGGAAGTATACTACAGCATCTGTTAGGCCCAGCCATCATCAGGATAAAGAAGACTGATGTTTAGCACTTGTATTGGTTGATCCGCTCTACCTCCTGAGACACATTTCTTTTGAAATGTAAATATGTGTGTGTATCCTGCCAGCACCCTGGCAGTTTCCACTACAAGAATTTCTATTTCCCATAAGAAACATTATTCTCTATTTTCAGCTCTGATGTTATTTACAACTTTTTTTTTTTTCCAAAATGAATTCGTAACCCTCCCTCCAGTTCCCCGTCTGGCTGCTGTGCACCGTTTGTGAAGACAAAAGATTTTCCTTGAGATATCTGAGGTTTCTTCTCTCTCCTCTTAGAAATGTATGACTTACTCCAAGCAGTTCACGCACATGGGGAACATCTCTGAAACGACAAAGTAAGATTTTTGCACGACTCTCAGTGGTTTTCATTCACTCAGTTATAACTCAGGGCAGCACCACTCAACTTCCACTTTATTAGTAACCCTGCCGTCTAATGCAGTGCAGCACAAACCATAAGGCTTTTCACACCCAGTAGTTTTGACAGTATAATGCAGCCTAGTACTACCCCACCTTTGACTGACCTCAGTCACAAACCTATACTTTAATTTGAATGTTTTTTACAATGTCACCAGAAATCAAACATTTTCAAAGATATAATTTATGGGGGTGTTGTTATATTGGATTGCAGTTCTTTGTACAGACAATAAAGGTACTTGAGTGCATTTTCAGCTCCAGCACACACAGAGAGAGAGAGAGAGAGAGAGAGAGATTAAATGAATCCTTATTTTGCTTATTAAATGGCTAACCTGAAGTTGCTAGGGTGATGTCTTCACATTATTTATTTTCTGACCATCAGTCAGAAATGCTCAGTTAATCACCATCTGTAGAATGTTTGATTTCACTTTCGTTCTTTATATTGTTTTCCTGAATAATCACATGTAAATCATAAAATTTGCAATGAACATGAACAGACACGGAGTTTCTGGCTCCTCATGTGCAGGTTTGAGAAGATGGCTGAGAGCTGTAAGAAGAGTCTGGAGGTCCTGAAGCTGGCTCAGTCCAGGGGTCTGCCTCCTCCTAAACATCACTTTGAGGAGAGATCGTTTCACACTGTCAGGTGGGCGCAGGTTCTACTCTAAAACATAATGAGATTTATTGCACCATACTGTGTTTTTCCAAACAACTCAACCTTTGTTTCATCAGTCCACAAAACGTCTTACCAGCAGCATTACCAGCAGTGTCAGGCTGCCCTGTGGTAAACGTCAGCAGCTTCTTATTTACAGCACCGACGTTCTGTCATACAGGACTGAGAAGTAACGAAACTCTGAGATTGCTTTGGAACATTTCCACCTTTATGCACATCAACAATTCTGGATCCTTAGTCTTCTGAAATCTCAATAGATGTTTACTATGAACAGGTCATTTTTTGAGTCCGAGTTGCCACAGCCTCCAAACTGGTTTCACTGACTGGACTCCACACCTCCATACTGGTTTCACTGACTGGACTCCACACCTCCATACTGGTTTCACTGACTGGACGCCACAGCTTCCAAACTGGTTTCACTGACTGGACTCCACACCTCCATACTGGTTTCACTGACTGGTCTCTGTTGGTGTCCTTCGCCTCAGGGTTCACATACTGTTTGGACAAGAACAACACTGATTTGTGTCGTTAGTTAAAAGCGTTGTTATTTGTTTATCATAGCAACTTAAATGAAGATCTGACCATATTTAAAAACAAATTTATTCATAAAAGCATGTGACAGGCTCACCGTCTTTTTCTTGCCACTGGGTATTAACTTAAAATCTTGTTTGTTGCACAAACAAGATTTTACTCAGATATAAAGTAAATGTAAAACATCATCATATTATAATTTGTATGTGTAAATGGTCATTCTGCTCCAGAGAGGATTTCTATTTTCTTTGCTGATGGATTTTTAATTAATTTACTTTTGGCTTACTGTTTATACTCTGAATAGATCCCAAGGCATAGAAATAAATCACCTGTGTTTTCGCCCCTCACTCTTTTACTTTGTTTTCCCCTCAGGATATTTCCAGAGCTAAGCAGTACTGACATGGTGGTTGTCATCGTCAAAGGGATGAATCTCCCTGCACCAAGTGGTAAAAAGACCAGTCTATACATATTAGTCTGCAAGTCCTCTGTTACCATGACCGTTCTGTTTTATGCCTGAAATTCAGTTTTGAAGGCTTAAAATTAGATCTTTACAGCTAAACCTGGAACCTGTATTAAAATCTTCTGGCAGGTCTTTAGTGACTTTCATCATGCAATGTTTTTACTGTTTGAATTGGTCTGGTTGTCAGTTTCAGTACCAATAAAATATTAGTTGCTGCAACCTTTAGCTTTGTTATTATGGCCTTATTGACTATTAACAGTTTATTCACATTAAACTTTGGTTAAAAGCAGAAATTATGTAAATACTGTTTGAGGTTTGGTTGCCTTTTTTCTTCTTCTTCTTTCCTCAGGAATTCAAACGAACGACCTGGATGCCTTTGTCAAGTTTGACTTCCCTTACCCCAGCGCGGTAGGACAGTTCAAACTGCAGTGTGTTCGTTCTTCACGTCTGCCGCTGACTGTGAGAGAATTTATACTAATTACATGTGTTTTGTCACCACAGGAGCAGCCTCAGAGACACAAAACAGCTGTCATCAAGAACACTAACTCCCCAGGTGAGACTTAAAGGTCACTGTAAGACTGAATGTAGCTTTTACCAGGTGGACTAAGCTTTTTCTCTCCAGGCCAGTTTGCTGAATAAATATTTGCTGCATCTCTTCATCTGTGATTTCTTTGAACCAGAATACAACCAGAGCTTCACGTTGTCAATCAACCGTAACCACCGCGGCTTCAGGAGGGTGGTGGCCTCCAAAGGCCTCAAACTGGAGCTGCTGCACAAAGGGTGAGACGCACACACATGTGCTCGCACTCGCACTGCAGTGCACCATCCTCACAAAGGTTCAGACAAACAGCATAAACATGAGTTTGAGTTCTGTGGATAAAATCTCAAATTTGCATCAGTGTCAGATGTGTCGAACAAACAAAACCTTTCAGAACAGTTGCTGCCCTGCACATCATCATCATCATTAGTAACGTTGGCAAAATAAGCAATTTTTCTACAATTGTACACAAAAAAAGATACTGGAAACATCACATCACCAAAGTAAAAAGTAATTTTTGTGTTTTTGAGACAGTAAAAGTGTGATTATGTAGTGACATGTTGGTACAGTTCCAGTCCATTAATGTTAATTCAGACATGAGAATTGTGCCACTAAAACATGACAAAGCCTCATTTCATTGTTTCACCAATGCCGTCATGTCGTCTCACAGCGGTTTCCTGCGGAGCGACAAGCCGATCGGGACAGCCCTTGTGAAGCTGGACAAACTGGAGTCTCAGAGTGAAATCAGGGAAATCGTAGAGGTGAGCGGCGTTTAGTTAGAGAAAGACGAGGACAGACGAAGAATAAGACATCAGGAAACAAAACTGGAACTGGAAACGATTTTAGTCTGTTAATCACAAAGACAGTTTTTCTGAGCGTTGTTGCTGTGGGTCTTATCCAATATTCTTGTTGTGTCTCCTGTCAGGTAATGGACGGTCGTAAGCCCACGGGAGGTCGTGTGGAGGTGAAGGTCCGACTGCGGGAGCCTCTGAGCGGACAGGACATGCAGACAAGCAAAGAGCACTGGCTGGTGATCGACCAGTCACAGGTAGTACTAAATATTATGTGGCTGCTTTTAGCATCACCTCAAAAGATAAAGCTGATGGGGTTTTTTTTTTCTTTGCCTCTAAGGTTCTAGTTTAGACATTCCTGCAAGACTAAAGACAAGTCACAGGACACAGGTAATGGAATGAAAACTAAGTTACACGTTTGTCATGTTGATTTAATAATATGTTAAACTATGTTAAAGGAATAGTTTGACACTTTTGGAAATACATTTGCTTTCTTAGCGACAGCTGGATGAGAGGATGATACCACTCTGCCTGTACAGTAAATACAGCTGGTGACAGATGCCAGTTGCTTAGCAGAAAGTCTAATCTGCACAAAAACGCAAGGGTAGAAATGACATTTTGTGATTTATTTTTTTAATGAGAGGATTTGAATACCTCCCTACAGAACCAGGCAAGCAGTTCATCTTTTCCAAGTGACTGCTAGTGACAGCCTACATCCATGAGAGTGGTATTGGACTTCTCATCTAAGCAAGAAAACAAATAATTGTCCAAAAATGTCAGTGTTGCTTTAAATTTAAGTGTTTAAGGATATGTTCTGGGTCTATTTGACGAGTTTATCTTTTTTTATCTCCTGACTGATCATTTCTCTGTCTTCAAGGTTAAAGATCAAGCACTCAGGGGAGGGTGCAGTGGAGAGTGTGGGCCCTGACGTAGACCGTCTGTTGTTCAGATTGGACTCAGCTGCGTGGGTCTGTGGCTTGTTAAAACTTTTGCACATTTGGAAGACACAAGCTCCCTTTCACCCAGCAGTCCACCAGGAGGAGCCGGGTTACGGTAGGTCAGTTGTGGGCTTGTGATGCTTCAGGCCAGCTAGAAGGCAGCAAGGCGAATAAACACTCAACGAGCACAGCTGCCCAAAAGTCTCCTCTTGCATCACTCGGGCTCGTGGGGGAAGGCGGCCTGTCCTCTGCTGATGTTAACGGGGCTCGGTGTTGAGCCACCTTACATGACTTTAGGTAATATATCAAAGAATGTATGTATTCCTTATATAATACATCTCTGGTATCTAGAACTGCACCTATGCACTAATGCCAAATTTATCACTGTTGCTGTAAAGTCCTGCGTATTTCAAATTGCCTTTAGCTGTCAAGCTTGTTACAATAACATACTGTATGTGACAGGACATGTCAGTTTCCATTGTTTTGTTTCCCCCCACCCCCCCACACATCGGGTTTTTTGTGTGACAATATCAGGCAGATGCAGCAACCTCATAGATGTTTTACAGGAGCAAGACAAGAAATGATGAGACTGTACCAGGTACAATCACATAATTATGTTAATGACCACACTTCCTTTTTTGCACCTTTCACTTTGATTAATAAGTGCTTTAACTGTGGCTACTAAACTGCACACGTACTTAGCTGTGGTAGTAGGTGTATTGGGCTTTGGTCTTGTTTACACTGAATAGCACAAATCTGAGCAGGGTGTGTGGGAAACAGGAGTTTAAAAAGCTAATTATTTAGATATTTATGTTGAAGTATTTTGTAAGTAAATATCATTGGCTGATACTTTGGTAGTATCCAGTGCTTATTTTAGCTAAAGGAAATGTTTAATGCATTCTTGCTGAGAGTTGGACGTGAAGATCGACACCACTCTGATGCCTGTTAAATAAGAAGCTCAAGTCAGAACTGTCTTCACTAAAACAGATACGTGGACACCCCGCCGAGACCTGAGACAGACGCTGGCAGCAGTATGATCAGATTGAATCTGTTAACAAGCAGCAATATAATAATGCTGTCCTAAAAACTAATGGCAAGTTATAGAAACCAAAATAATTAAATGCAAATTTAATAGCAAAAATGTTGATTTTCTTAAATTAAGTTCAGCTTCAGTTCCCTCATCAGAACAAATGTCTGGTGGAGCTTTGTCTTATTTAGTTTGAGAAAAATCTGAACCAACTCCTGAATACGTTAGTGTTTTACGACGAGAAGCACAGATTTTCTATGCTAAACCAGCTCCGTGCAGACATGAGTGGTGTCGATCTCACCTTACTCTCAACAAGAAATCAAAAAGTGACTCAACTGAAATGTCACAGCTTATTTAAATGCAACGGTTTTAAAACTATGCATCAGTTCTGTCATGTGGTGGATGCTGCAGTCTGAGCGTTCTAAAGGGCCAGTTCACACAAACAAGTTCTTAGTTTTGAGATAAATGAGATTTTTGCTGCCACCTCGGTATAAAACTGAACAGTTTTGCTAGGTGGGCAGAACCATGCCTCCAACTACAAGAAACAAATCAGTTAATCAGCTTTAAGTGAGAACATCCAAGTTGTTTTTTTTTATGTGGTTGAACTTCCCCTTAAAATTTCAACTGCAGCATTTTAACACATGTTGACAAAAGAAGCCATAACAAACACTGCATGTTCAACAGATTTACCTCAGCACTGTGGTCGCAACACTTAGTTTCACTTCTGGTCACTTGCTTCATCCATGGAGCACTAAGGAAAATTTTTTAAAAATCCTGAATTAGCGAATCTGATGTCAAGTTTACAGACCTGCTTGTTTGGATCGCCGACACGTTTATAAAGATCGGTGATGCTACAACCGAATCTCTCAAAACAGAATCAATATACTTGCTTCTAATTGTGGAGTTTCCTGCTAAAAATGTACCATTAAAAATACCTTGTTTTAACTGGTTGGTTTCTTGGAGTAAAACTTGCATCCGATTTGTGAGGGAACATGATGTTGACCCTGAAGAGCAGGCAAAGAAACAGAGCGCTTGTTACAGTTTTCTAGAAGTTTTTATTTTACATATGCTACAATGTTGAACGGTTAAAATGCATTAATGAATGCTTGTTTTCATGTAGTGCTGTAGTTTGGGATGTAATGTCTTGCAACTGAATATATATATATAAAAAAAAAAAATGCTACTTTCCTTTAACAAATTGCACCTTTTTGGATGTAGGACATATTGCACACATCAGGTACTGCCAAAACTCTAAATGAACAGAAAACGGTCAGAAAAATAAATTCTCATGTCGTCTCTTTGTTAATACTAATGTGTGAAAACAAACGTCACATGGTGAAATCACAGTCAATTCAACAGGTGACCTTTGATTGTTCATTTTAAATCAGCATTACTTTGTGCCTATTATACGTCAAATTGAGTAATAAACTAATTACAGATTCGCTACAGGTCTGATTTTCACGTGATTGTCTGATTCTCACTTGTGGTGACGAGATTGTTTTTCCCTCCATTAAAATGCTTCTCATACTGACGACAGCACCTTTTGTGTAGGCTTTTCTGATTTTATATTGGCATGATTAAAGATGGAGAAACTGCCGTGATGCAGACAGATTACTATACAGAGAGTCTTGACATGACAGGGTCGTTTTTGGTGCTTATTCAGAAACAGGAGGAATACGTTCCTAAATGTTTTCCAGGTTCATGTTGCTGAAGTAGAGCACAGTCAGAACAGAGCAGAACAGTGGGCTGCAGGTCCAGAAGACCTTAACAACCACATCGGTTAATGGATAAACAGTCCAGGCCTCAGAAGATGACATACAGTATCGGTGACCTAAGTGGGTCTGCAAAGTTCCACAAAGTCTGCAGCAGGATGTTGATGCTTTGGAAGGATAAGAGATGAAATACATTCAGCTTCAAGTCGATGAAACTCTTTCTGCAGGAACCCTGGATCTTTAAAACTCAACCTGTCTTTTCTGCATTTGTCACAGTGGCAACCCTGACACTTGCTTCAACTCTCTGGTGAATGGCTTAGAATCCAGTGCACTGCTTCTGCAATTTAATACAGTTCTCTACATTTATTTATTTACACACACATCATATACACACACACACACACACACACACACACCTTCAGCAGTTATTCTCTTTGCATCATTAAAATAACTAGGGTTTTCCAAAAACTGATTTTGAATCGGATTGATGAAATTAAAGTTTCCCCCTTCTCCTCTTTCAGCTTTATGTACAAATGGTTTGAGACATTCAGTAAAGCACTGGAACCTTTTGATCAGCCGTCTACTGCAGGACAAAAGGGCTTCAGGATAGCAGAGCAGGACTAGTAACACTGCTAGTTATAATGGAGGCAACATCGCTCGGTCCACAAAATATGTACAAGGCGCTGCATTTGTCTGTGAAGTAAAGCATCTGGTGACTGATGAGTAAAGCTTAATAGCTGAAGCTGAGATCTAACACCCACCATGATCATGCAGAGGCACCTTCTCCCTCCTCACTTGATCATTTGTGGCTTTCCTTTTTAAAGTAACTTCAGAGGAACCTTCCAGTTTTCAGCGACTGACACGAGTCTCCCTCGTAAGAATGTCCGTGCTACACAGAGGCCTTTGAGTTCCTCTGGCTGCCACAGTGACATTGGACTAACTGGCGATGAGGATGCCGTGGAGCTACATTACACCACGCTGGAGTCTGAGAGCGGGTCCATCCAAATACTCACACTTGCACTCTTAAAGTTAAATTTCTTGCGGCACCAGGGAGCAAACGTATATTTCACATGTGGAAAATGGCAACACACAACACTAAATCTTTACTTGGTCCTAACTGCCCAAAAATGACCCCGCTCATCACTTTTGGAACTAGAAGTGTTTGAACTTTCTGACTTTGGAAATCGCTCCTATCTTGGATAAAATTCATGAGATGTGTCCTAACCTGTTAAAGGTTCAGGCAGAGATACAGTACTGTGTAAAAGTGTGGAGCACTGTAGATGTTTAGATCACACAGTACCAACAGGAAGTTTGTGTGATTGGTCCCCAATTTGTTCTGCACCATGACAATGAGCTTGAGCTTACAGCCAGACTCAAAGACCTATGTTCAGAGATGAGAAGAACAAAGACTCCTACAGCATGTACTGTGGCCCCACAGAGCCCTGGTGTGAGCATCATGGAGTCGGTCTGGGGTCACATGAAGAGACAGAAGACACTCAGACAGCCTGAATCCAGAGAACAACCGTAGTAGGTTCTCAAACATGCTGGAACAATCCACCTGCCAACTACCTTAAACTGCGCCAGTGCAGTGAGGAGAACTGGTGCTCTTTAAAGGCAAAGGGTGCTCACACCAAACATTGGTTTGACTGAGGTTTGTTCAGTCAACTCCACTTTCTCACACACACACACACACTGTACTTGTAGTGCACGAGTTTCACCATTTTCTTTTTTTTTTTTTTGATTAACAGTTAAATTACTCAACAGATTAGCCAAAATTGAAAACTCAGTTGCAACCGTAGCTTTATTTGTGTAATAATTCATATGTTTAAAATGACAGCAGGGCTATATTTGGGAGAGGTGGTTGATTAGTACGGCCCAAGGCTTAGTGTATCCCAGAGTTCATAATGGTCTGCTACGCAACGCTAGTTCAGCTAATGGTGGTACTGTCGATTTAACAACAGAGATGAAGACATTTAAGTTTGTGACGTTAGCTGTGCAAGTGTGGTTATCAGGATGGACCCGGTTATCAGACTGGAGCTCACCAGAGATTGGAGCAACTGACAGGTCTGGTGAAAGATGATCCTTAGTCCACCGGTGACTACTGGAGCAGAACAGATTTTGGCTGGATGCATAGGTTGATTTGAGGAATGCTACCCCTGCCAGGCACAGCACAGTTTTAGGGTTCTTGTGAAGTACAGACGCTTGAAGAGAGATTATGGAGGGATGGGAGGACGCTCCAGGTTGGTGTCCGGATCCTAGGAGATGATCTCCAGGATGTAGAAGATCAGCTCCATGACCACGGGACCCTCGCTCAGCTGGCACGCCCCGCCGTGGATGACTGGGATCAGAGCACTGTCCAGGTCGCTTAGGTACTGAGGCAGGAGAGGCTGGCCGTTACTTCCTGCCAGGTAACCCACCTGCGACAGTGAAGACAGATGTTAGGATCTCAACCACATTTAGAAAACAAATTTTTTAAAAAAATTTCCATCATAATAAATCGTCAGTTTATTGTACTCGGGTCTAAGAGATGGAAATCACCAAAAACAACAGGATTTGTCTGATTTAAACAGTTGACTGTGGAAATGATGCTTCACTGAATGCAGCAGGGGAGAAAAAGTCATGAAGCATAAAAATAGATAAGTGAGGGTTCTACAGGAGAAGCATGTCTCAGATTCAGTGTGGATCGACTGATATAACAAAATTCTACCTGCAGCATGAGACGTGTATAATGAACGCTTTCAAAAACACTTCCAGTGCATCTTACCAGTTAGTGTACAGTCCTACTGTGTGTTCCGGAGTTTCATGCAAAAGCCACCCAACCACTATGTGCCACTATTCTGTCTGCCCACTGTACCTGGTCAGAATCCAGTGTGACCCTCAGGCCCAGTTTGGCCATGCCATCCTCCTTCAGCAGTTTGAGATGTGGACACAGCGCCATGCAGAAAGCTCTTGCTATGTTCTCCGTCAGCCGGCTGTGGTCAGCTGGGTCGCTCAGACCGTTGGCTTGGTCTTCACTCTGGAGGAAGAACACCTGAGGAAATCACAGAAACACTGCCATGAATACAACCTCTGCAGAGTCTCAAATATCTGAAGAAGATGAGGCAGCAGAGTAAAGAAGAAAAAACGTGTCCTTAAGAAGGGACGTGAAATGGGGCCGAGTAAAAATCTTGTACTTTTGGATAAAATAACCTTAAGTTAAAATAATACCAGTTAAAGAGCTGTGACCAACTATAAAGCTGCACAGTAGATAGGTTTGAACAAAATCAGGTCATTTGTTGACTAAAAAATTCCTCAAATTTATTTACTGGATATTTTTAAGATCATTTTGTACCAGCTGCTTCAGGGACCGCACAGCAAGATCTCGCCTGTGGCTTGACTTATTACCAAAAAAAACAATGTTGCTCAAATCTGGGGAGTTTTAAACCAAAGTCCACATTTGAAGCACAAAAAGGTAGCAGGTCAGCTCACCCACATCTTCAAAGGTTTCTTTATGTAATGTTATTTCCTGCACACGTCACAGCACAAGGGAAACAAAAGGCACAGGCACCTGCTGCTGTTTTTTTATGTAGAAGGAGCAGTCAGCTGCCAGATGTACTGTACCTCTGTCCAGCGGATGACTTTGCCATTGGCTTTGAACTCGGAGCCGTGGAAGATCTTAACACTGGTGATGGACTCCATAGACTTCCCATCGATTGGACTGATCACACTGGATTAGCAAACACAGCGTAAACTAAAGGTGCAGAGTATTTACAAATAGAGCATAAAAGTGCATGTAGGACAGAAGAAGGTGTGGAGGCCCTGTCGGTGTGCCCTTGAGCAAGGCCCTGAGTTGCCAGCTGCTCAGTGGCCAACATTAAAGCTTCTGGTTGAGGTTGTTTTAAAGTGAGAGCACAAGCCGATCAACATCACTGTAAATGTGCAGGGGTAATCAAAAAAACTTTTTAACTAGCGTCCCTGGACCAAACACAGGTTTCATTCTGAGTGAAATCAGCAAAAAAAAGTATTTTATTTGAACATTTCACACCTCGGTGGTGTTTTCTTACTGTATTTGCTCTATATGCTCTTGTGCAGCTGTTTATGCTTTGGTCCTCTTCTATTAGGAGCAGAAATAAGGTTCAAGACGAGAAGCATGAAAGCCAAGTGAGCACAGGACAGACTATGTATAATGTAGAGATGACTAATGCAGGCAGTGAATCCATATCACCATCCATATCACTCTGATGGTGGCATGACAGCAGACCACGTCAATGTATCTGGTGAAACAAGGGTTCAGACAGCTACGGTTCTAATGGAGTCACACAGTATCTGCTGAAAGGCCACACTGAAATTTGCAGATTTGATCCGACTGCTGTAAAATTGATTGTGTCAGTCTGTATCTCAGAGCAACATCAAACCACATCATCCCACCCTGCTGCAGAGATGTTCCTCCTAAGGACTTCCCTGAGTGAGCATAATGAGTTTTTCTAGCACAGTAGAAATTGTTGTGGCTGGGAAGCCATCAGCTCAATTATCCATGACACAAATGCATCTCTTCCAGCTCCCTCCCCTCCTTTGTTCTTGAGCTATTTTCTCTTCCTGTCTCACCCTTTGTTGAAGTTGTGGTCGTCCTCCATCCACTGGATGTGGACGAGCTCCTGATTCTCCTCCTGGTCGGCTTTACCGCACGTGATGGTGAAGTCCTTCATGTCCCTCAGGGCTTGCCGTAGAGAGTCCATGGTCTCAGCTGTGATCTGGATCATTACACCGTCTAAAGACACAAAAGGAGCGGTAGTTCAGTGACAGATTTAAAACTATACATTATATATATATAAAAACATTTTTTTAAATTCTGATTGATGGGCAAAACATCCATTTTAACCATTTCAAATTAAATCCACAACACAAAGTGTGTATAGGTTTCTAGAAAAGGGTTTATAGATCAAATAAGTGATGTCTGTTGTTGTGTTGCAATGTATTAAACACTTGGCAAATCACAAAAATTTTGATAGAAAATTCTCTCAAGAATGAAATATTGCCCTCAAGCTAAATTTTATTGCTCTGTAGCTTTGCCCACAACAAACTAATACACCCAGAGGTGTTAAAGAAACACCTGCCATGCTACAGACATTATAGCAAAGTCCTTGAAACCTTTGTGAGCCAGCGTCATACAAATATACTTGACTAACACTGCAGCATTTTTACAGCCAACATGTAGTGTGTTGTCACTGTTCTCACCTTCCACAATGCTGGTCTTGGCTAAGAAGCCCGATGAGGCTTTCAAAGCACCGCTGAACACAAAGAAGCAGGCGCCAGTGACTGTAGGGGGGGATAAGAATCAGGAGGATGATCAAATGATCAACAAACTGGTCATAAAAAGCGGACACAGTGGGTGATAAAGGAAGTCTTATATGTGATGGGTGTGTTCGTGTGCTGGCACCTTTGCGCGGCTGGTGATGGATGCTGATAGCCTGCGTCTGGTAGTTCCCATCATCGTTTTGGACACACACCAGGTGGGAGTCAGCCTGGTCGTTGAAGCATGCCCCCATGGCCAGCACGTGTTCATTGGACTTGTTCATGGCCTTCATCAGCTACAAGGACAAGTGATACCCATGTCTAATTAAGCTGCCCTCTGGGTGTGTGCTAAAGAAAACAGGCTTAGGAGAGCCTGCCTGGTTAAGCCTAATTGCAGTGGGCTTGTGGGAAAGTTAAACGGGATGGTACTCAGATGACAGATTGTGGGGAAAGACACTGACACAGCTGTACATCAACAGTTGAAAGATCCCACATATTAATTCTACTAAATCCTCTGCTCTCTTTGAAGTCATCCTTTTGCAAATCAGAAATAAAACTGAAAATCTGGAGGGCTTTAACCACTCGCTGCGCTGAAGGCTCGTCTGCAAGCTGTCGAGAAACGGTCCCCACTTAGTTTTACTGGTTTCCCATCTGTTACTGCAACAGTAGCCAAATGCTACAACCGGCACGGCTCACTTTCTCAGCTAAATGCCGCCTTGTGTGTATCACTTCTTCTGGTCGGACATTCATTCACACCCTCGAAGCAGCAGCGTTAAAACAAGTTGACAGCCTACGCCTCATGTTCAGCTGCAGGGACCCGGGAGACTTTGTCACATATCACGTACAGTGACTGAACATGTGCGGTGGTGTTCAGGGAGCCGCCACCAGTGACGTCACTGGTCTGGTGGAGGGTTTATTGTGTTAATGCCTCGAAAAACAACAAAAATGCTGCAGTAATTCTGTGGGTGCATGTAGCACTCAAGATACAAGATGGCCATCACCACAACTGTCCACTGACTCAGTTACATGTCAGTCTGTGATTCTGAATACCTGTGGCTTTTGGTTTATTTCATAAATAACGGCTAATCCAGAACCAGACCAGAAATAAAAGGCAACGATCTACAATTTTTCTTGAACCAAACAAAATGAACAAAACTACAGGTGTGAGAACAGCCTTACTTTGAACTGTGATGTCGCTAATGGAGACGCCAGATGCAGGGCACTCACCTCATTGTAACGGTTACTGGGGATCTTGATGCTCGTCTTCCTCACCTCCATGTCCACAACCAGACCCTTCACCACTGGCAGTGTGTACTGGTAGTTTCGGAAGTCCTACGACAGGGATGAAAAAAAGAACTTTTTAATTCTGCAATTTAGGAAAAACTCATTCATACAAAAACACAAAAGGAAAGCAAAAATCAAGGCCCTTGGAAATTTAAGTGACACAATCATCTTACTACAGACACGCTACGTGTTGTCAGACATAAAGGCCTGGATGACCTGCAACTTCTTACTTCTAAACTCTGACAAAACTGAAGTTATTGTGCTTGGGCCTGAAAACCTTAGAAATCTGCTGTCTAATCATATAGTTACTTTAGATGACATAGCTCTTGCCTCCAGTACTACTGTGAGGAACCTTGGAGTCATCTTTGATCAGAATATGTCCTTTAAATCACACATAAACCAAGTCTCTAGAACTGCCTTCTTTCACCTACGCAATATTGCGAAAATCAGGAGCATCCTGTCTCAAAGTGATGCTGAAAAACTGGTCCATGCATTTGTTACCTCCAGGCTGGACTACTGTAACTCTTTACTATCAGGATGTCCCAATAATTCCCTAAAAAGCCTCCAGTTAATCCAAAATGCTGCAGCCAGAGTACTGACAGCAACTAGCAAGAGAGGTCATATCTCTCCCATATTAGCTTCTCTCCACTGGCTCCCTGTAAAATTCAGAATAGAATTTAAAATCCTTCTCAACATACAAAGCCCATAATGACAAGGCTCCATTGTATCTTAAAGACCTCATAGAGCCTTATCATCCTAACAGAGCACTTCGCTCTCAGAGTGCAGGTTTACTTGTGGTTCCTAGAGTCCACAGAAG